GATAAAAGACGATCTGCCTTAAAAATTGTGTTGACTCACAGAGATGAGGAGTTGGCTTCTATTTAGAAAGTATGCAAGTGGAAGTCCTGCAGAAGCTCAGATGGGAGGCAGCAGTGCTGACACTGCACATGCCTAAGTAGTGCTCACAAGTAAAACGTGGGAACAGTCATGTCAACACACTCTGTGCACAGGTTAGAGCCAGGGAGAGACATGGGTGCAAACACCCCACTGGCTTTGGGCAAACACCTGGAGGGCTGCCAGGGAGGGAGTGGTGATGCTCCCCAGCTGGGTGCTTGGCCAGGAGAACCCACCACCGAGGACTGCAAGGTGCCCACAGGAAGGCCGCTCCAGCTCCACTGCATTGGCAGTGCACAGCCATCAGCTCCCTCACACGCTAGCACCTTCACGGAGAGGAAACCTCAGTGGATGGGCTTGACAGGGGCTTCACAGGACTCCAGCAGACAACTTCAGACCCAGTCCTCTCAATTTGATTATACAGAATCATAGAATCATAGAATGGTAAGGGTTGGAAGGCACCTTAAAGATCATCTAGTTCCAACCCCCCTGCCATGAGCAGGGACATCTTCCACTAGACCAGGTTGCTCAGAGCTCCATCCAACCTGGCCTTGAACACTTCCAGGGAGGGGGCATCCACAGCTTCTCCGGGCAACCTGTTCCAGTGTTTCACCACCCTCATGGTGAAGAATTTCTTCCTAATATCTAATCTAAATCTGTCCTCTTTTAATTCACAGACATTCCCCCTTGCCCTATCATATCTTATTCTATATGTGACTCCACTAACTTTCATTGAACTCTTGTGGAGTACAGTTGTATTAACCATGTGTGAAGCTATCAGCAATCTATCCCAAATAGATAATTGCTACGATAAATGTGGTTTTGATTGTTGCAATAAATAATTGCTCCCAGACAGAAAGGTGTAGAATGAGCTTCCTTAGAGAAGCGAAACAGCAATATCTGTGATCTTGTTATTTAGATATAATACTCAAAACTTGGAAAATATGCTTGCATTCAAGTGAAGCTCTCCAGTTAAACACAGAAAAAAAAACCCCTCTGAATAAAAATTAGTGTGAAATGTGAAAGACAACAGAATGTTCGTACAAGAAGTACAGCAACAGGGCCCTAATACTCCCTTGAGCATCTGGGTAGTACCCTACTATAAACTACAAACAATAACAAGAATTTAGCTGTATGGGAAAACTGGAAACCTCAGAGGTCGATCACATTCAGCTTTTACACATCTAAAGAGCTGTATGTATACTAGGAAATCTGATCTAAAGACAGTCATAATTGTTCATACAGATAATTTTGAATGTTCAGAATAACCAAGAAAAAACCCAAAACATCAGTGCAGATAACTTGATCACTGCAGAAAATAAAATGGAAGGACAGAAGTAGGGAGGGAAGAAAGAACTAAACCATCACATCCTGTCTTGTTCTGGATTAGTTCGTACAATTTGGTTCTTATTCTCCACAGACTTACAAATGTGTTTAGTTGCAAACTTACACTAAATTCAGGTAAAGTCAGTGAGACTGCTGACCTAATAAATTTATACAATTGCTTACTGTTTTGCGGAATAAATGGTTGCATTGTCCACATGTGTCCATTGCATAATGCAGACTGAAATATCAGCTAGGCAAACATCAAAACATTAGATTCTGACCCAGGAGTATGGATGGTGTTGAAAACTGAAATTCAAGCTACAGAGTCCACGTTCTTCAGAGAGCAAGTTGTTCTTTCTGTTTGGTGCCTACAACAATGGGATCCTGTAAATGCTTAGAGCTCCAAGGAACAGCTGTTGACATATAAACTAAACAAAACTTTGCTGAGGTATTGATGCATTGACACATGAGGCTGTGCTTCTGCAAAGGCATACATACATCTCTGCAGGAAGTGCTACCTCTCACCGAGACCTCATAGGCCTTACGTCTGCAATGTAGGATAGCGTTACAAAGCCAAGCCATTTATTTCAGTGATTCAATTCTCAGTAAATTGAAGCACACAAATGAGCTTTTGCATAAACGGGACAAGCACTAAGCACCCTGAAAGTCAGGACAGGTGTTTTTTTTAATTTGCTTCTGTGTGCTGAG